CCAGATCCACAGGAGTCTTATAATAAATGCGGGCGGATTGGGTGCATGGAACGATAATTTAAAGAGCTGGATTGGTTACGCTTGATTGGCTCGATCTACTTACAATTAGTAAATAAGATTATCTTGCACATATCCCTTTACACATCCTGAATTATTATAACTTTAACCGCGCAAGTAATTGTTCGGTGAAAAAAAATGACGCGGGGATTTCCACCTAGGCCTCGCCAGCTTAATTGCTCTCATTTGCTCGCCTCTAATTATCCTCATTTATTTCCCTTAAGTTAAGAATTAGCTTTTCCGAGCGCCAAGTTTATGTGAAGCGCCCCATGGCGCCACGTTGTTCGTATACATTTATAAAAACTAATCGTTTTGCCCGGTTTCCTAATTTCTGCGGCAACGGGGGGCCCCGACCGTCTTAAATTAATTTGTATGGACATGTGCCCCTTTCTGGCGGGCCTCGTTGAATCATGTACCAACTTATGCGGGCTTCGATCGTGAGTTTTCGTCAACAAAAATTGTCAAGTACTCGCACTGTGCATTATTACGGAATATATTCGTTACATAAAATTCTAAACAAAATTTTTTAAATTATTTATTAAATTAATTATTGAATTAATTATGAAAATGTGAAATCAAAGAAAAAATATCGAATTTTTATTTTATTTGTTTATTTTTATAAACTGATTAAAAAACATCTAAAAATTCGTAAATATCTCAATATCAGAGCTTATATCTTTACAATATTTGCAGTACCAAAAGATTTTACTTTATAGAAAAAATAGATGGACGTTTGTAGAGCCGCAGTATTATATTTTTCTTACGCTTCTTTTCAGCATGCCCTATGTCCTTCGTCGTCCTCCTCTCCATTCTGGCCGACGTGTATAACGCAATAATCATTTAATTCCGGCGGTCGTACGCGCAGCGCTTGGCGCCAAGTCAATCTAAGCCAACCGGATATGCCTCTCTCGTCTGCCTTGTTCAGCCACTGACGTAATCCCGAAGTTTAGATTAGGCGAAGGAGGGAAGATACGCGTCGCTCATTAAGATCGTGCTCGATGTAAAAATTTCGCCGGTCCGTCTTGCACGTGCCCATTTTTCGAGCATGATATACGTCGAAATTATAATTGCACAAGCCCGCGAATAATCTGTTTTGTTTTATTGTTACGATATCGCGGATTCCAGCGTCATTAAAATTTATCGGATTAACAGTCTATATCGCGCTCTATTATCGGCGAGAGAGAGATTTAAATGTGTAGCTTGCCGGAGCATACTTTATACGCTGAAATAAATTACGCAATTGATTTCATTGGGCGGTATTAACTGGAAATTAATTTATTAGAACAAATGGGGATTGGATTGCAGTCCAAGTAGTGCATGAGTTCGATTACAAAGGTTTGAAGGAATTGCCTTTGTTAATTAACTTCTCATATTATAATATATATAATTACATTTCTGGAAAAAAATTGCCCTTTAATTAGAACTCTTTAATTAGAATTACTAATAAATTTTGTTATCTTCAGGGCACACACACACAAGGCAATTTATTTATCACCATTTAAATCGCCGTTAGAACTCCAGCTGTCTGAGCAATAAACCAAACTCTCATCTCGGTGTCACCCGCATTATCACGAGTCGCATCGCGTACTTAATATCTCAATCTGGACCGTTCTCTCTGCCTGCGTATCAAAGTACGCAACCATAGATCATCGGGGCGAGGGGAGTGACGTTATGGGATATCGAAGTAGGTACCCTTTGGAACGGTTATCATCTACATCGTCAGACAGGTCACCGTGTATCCCGTTTCTATATTTTCATCCCATTTCCTTTCTCGTCCATTTCTCTCCTTTCTCTTTCTCTTTCAGCTCCGATCCCCTTTCGGTCTCGCGCTTTTCACCCCGCGCAAAACTGCTAATGAATATCGGCCCTAAATATCAGTCCACGGGGATCCGGCGAGGGGTTCGTCGATGCTCCTCGTCGGTGCATATGTCCGTATATTACGGGGGTTTACACACCCCGGTTCCCCTCGTGGTAACTTCGCCACGGCCGATCCCTCTCGCCCGTACGTGTACATGGTCACGCTCGTTTGTCCCGCGTTAATTCTTCGTCTTTCTCGGGGCTACCTTGTAACTCTCGTACAGCTCTCTCGTTCCGTTCGTTCCCCCTTCTCTCTCCTCCCCTCGTATTCCTACCCTCTCGATGAAAACTCACCGCGCGACACCATATGTCCGCTCCCATCAGCCCGGAGTCAAGACGCGCGGGCGCACGACATCCCCTCGCATGAAAATCTAATCGCGAATCCGGCGGAAACTCCCGGCTCCTACTGCAAATCCTTCCGGGAGTTGACGTCGACGGTTCACGAAAATTACGCGCGCGACGCTGCTCGCAAGCACGAAAGAAACAGCCGTGGACACGTTCGTTCCGGTATGTCAGACATTTCGCGCAAGAGTTTTCTATTTCTCGTATAAGATACCTATGCAATAATTTTAATGTAAAATAAGACATTTTGTAATATATATTTAATCTTTATTGTATAAATAGTTATTATTTTGAATTTTAAATATTTGACGGAATTTTTTTAAAAACACTTTTATATATCCTTAATTCCGCGAGCCACATGATCTTCTGTAATATCGAAGAGTGTGGCAAACGAAAATTTCCGCCCGGATACTGTAATCCGGATTGATGATAACATCGCAATTGTTTATGCGATACAGTGACCTAATGAGCCGATAATCGCAACGAAAGAGAGAGAGGAGAAGGGAGAGTAATATTCGGATGCATGACTCGGCGAAGCTTTGTTTCTGTTCGCGAACATACAAAAGCAGCTAGAATTGTTTTCGTACGGTGAGCTCAACCGCAGTCTTGCCGTGATCAATGACAGGCGGAGGCTTAATCGATTCGGCACGCTATTGTTGGCCAGAATTTCTAGCGCGAAGATCCATCGATCTTCGCGGATTTAAATCGCGTACACCGATGACGATCGCGTGGACGATTAGATAAACGGCGATTCAGGAAAGGCTCCGTTAATATGCCAGCGCGTTAGCGCGTTGTTGTTGTTGTTTATTGTCATTTCGAAATCCATCACGATGTATGTCGAAATTATCTTGCGACGACTACATTTTTTTATTATTCTTTATTCCAAAATTATTTTTTAATCGTTTGTCGCAATATGAATTATTGTAGTCTGTTGTGACTATTGAGATACGTAATGCAAATGATACAATATAATAGTATGATACAAAATAACACAGACGACAGCGTTGCTTTTATATAAATATTGGTGTAAAGATAAAAATTCAACCTTTTATTACGTTTAATATACTATAATACTATATCAATATTTAATAAATTTAACAAGTTTTTTACTATATTTTACTTTTAACTGCTCTATATAATATATTAATCTGTTATATAATATATTCATAATCAATGAGGACAGAAAATTATATGAAAAACATTTCGAGGTCTGAAGTGACTTTCTTGATCGAATCACCGATCTGCCGATACTCGCGCCGGGATTCTTCCTCTGGATCCGGATTAATCGGTTTAAATTGGAACAATTTCTGCCAATTACGTTGCCAGTTTCCAGATAGCGCATGCTTACGGTAGAACGATCGTTCGTCTACCCGCAGGGGTCCATCTGCGTCCCGGCGCCGTGTAAGAGCCGCGATCATGCCCACATGCGTGCACACTCGCGCATGGCACACGCACGGTAAATTGTACGCGTCGCTTCACGATACGTTTTTTTTTTTTACACGTATCGCTCTCCGCCGGGCGATAACCATCACCCACATATTCCCAATTGGTAAAGACAATCGCTAATATGTTTCTCTCCTTGATTGAGAGTGAGTCACGCTGTGTATGCCGCGCGGCGCGGCGTCTCCGTCCGCTCGACGTGAAAAAGACAGGCAGAAGGAGAGAAAGAGAGAAAGAGAGAAAGAGGAGGGACACCCGCGGCCTCTTCTCTCGCATTTACCACCGGCGAAACAATTGTTCGACGGGACAATCAAGTAGTAAATTTGTGGCGCCAGCCGGCTGCCCGCCGTATATCCGGCGTTGTTGAACTAGTTTGCCAAGGTAGTAGCCAGCTCGTATACACGTGGGCTCGTATATACACGTTCGTTGCAATAACACGTGGAATCGACCTACGATTAAATACAGATCGGCGAAGTGACGTTATATTTCGCGTTCCAATCAGAATACTGGTAATTTCTTATACGGCGAACAATGCTAGTTCAAGTTAGTAACGATCGAGCGAAATAATATCGTCACAACTTTTTTCTAGAAGAATAATTTTCTGGAAAATGGAAGATTATCTGATGCTGGAGGTTTTCACAACATAATCGTCAAAATACACTGGTACAAAATAAATATATTTAATATTTGTTGAAATTTTAAATGTCCATTTTTTGTTCTATGACAAATGTGACTATCCTTCGGCTTGTAAATTACATCCATGTATATTTACTTACGCAATCAAACATAAATATATGAACAGATTCGGGTCGACGCCGATAATGAAGCTATAAATCGAGAGATGTCAAAAACCGACAAGATATCTTCTTTCTAAAAAGCTTTTTTTTAGAAAATCAATATACCTAAGTTGATTACGCGTTTTGTTATTCTGAAATTAGTCTCTATTTAATATTAAAGAAATATGCACTTTATGTTTATAATGTTCTTTCTTTTTGCATTACGTATATACAATTACCGAAATTCAAACAATCTACAAAATGCATAAATTTTTCAGATACTACAATTTGCGGGCGTGTAAAATCTTCTTGATAAATAATTATGTTTAATAAACAAAAATAACAAAACTCAACCATTACCTATCACTTAATTAAAATACCTACTTTTTGGATGAAACGATCCTTACGCAGTCGATTTCATCTTCATGACCTCGTAATTTCACCGTCATACTCTTATTCTTGTATCCTCCTGCTTCCCTCGACCGTCATTTTTTTCGTTTTCTCTTTTTTTTTTTCGCAGGTCGGGGATGTCGTACAGCTTTTCGCACGCTCGCGTCGCGTCGCCGCAGAGACCCGTATTCGTAGAGTATGAGAGTAAGCAATTTTCTTCCGAAGATGGAGCGGCCCTGGGACATCGTCGGTGCTCCAGGGAGAACGTACGACGATGCGAGCGAGCGAGTGAGTGAGTATGATTGATGCGGTTTGTCGGTCTCGCCTGACGTCCAACATCTCGTCTCGCGTCATGCTCGTGGATACTTACGCCCCCGACGACGACGACGACGACGAGGACGAGGACGGCGACAACGACGATGATGATGACGACGACACTCGCGGTGTTACAGCCGGCTACACTCCGCGCATTCAGTCGCGGGACTGAACTTACGTTGAACCGCTGCGTCTCGATTTCCCAGCGTACGCGCGGAGAATGATCTACCAAGAGATACGGAGTATCATCTTCTCAAGAAACTTAGTTGAGTTTTTCTTAGTTATATGCATCCTCAGCGAGAGAGAGAGAGAGAGAGAGTTTTTGCGAAAAGAGAAGAGGATACCGTATTACCCTGAGAATCTAATCTAACAAATGTATTGTCTATGCAACGATATTTATCATCTCGCGGTTATTTATACAAATGGCCACATTTCACAAAGAGGAAATAGTTCGTACTTGACAGCTGCGCGATTTAGTTATCGTATCGCGTTTTTAAGTTCATCGAACAATTGAATGTCAGAAGCATAGTGAAATGCCGTTGAAATTACGCGCCGTTTTTTTTGCGGCAAATTATATAACAGTATTGAAATGCGGCGAAGTTGACATCGCAATTTATTCCTTGCAATCTAAGTATTACGACTTAAGTGATTACATTGTTAACTCTTTTATTGGTCGTTACACTTTCGTGGAATTAAATTATAAAAGTTGTCCCCGAGATGTAGACGTTACCAAAATTTTTGAGAAATGTTGTCAACATGTTATTATCCTGGATCAAATATGCTTCTTAGGATGCAGCTTTAATAAGCTGATGCCTGTTAAATTCTGTTATGTTTGACTTTCGCATCTGATTCGTTTCACCGCAATACCGCGTTTGCAGAGGCGAGTAAGCATGTAGCATGATAATTAAATTGTGCCATGAATCGTATTAATTTATGGATGTAACCATACTCCGGCCACTCGGAAAAGATCTACGAACATTTATTCACTTTTGTTTTAAAATTCCATACTTTCAAACTGCATTTATAACTTTAACGTTTGTTCTAATAACTGCTAAAGATAATCGCGGTATTAAAAATATATATTTAATTTTGCATAGATTTAATAGTTACTAAACTTATTTACACAAACATCTTGCGATAATTTCGCAATTGTTATCATGATAAATAAGCGCACGAAAAACGAACGCATAATCTCGTCTCTTATCGAGTCGAAAGAGCGCGGTTGAAAAAAATGCGATGAATTAATGCATCGATTATCAATGCAGCTGAAGAATTTTTTTTTATGCGTTTTATTCTTTATATGCGCGATTATTAAACGTAGACAGGTGACAGACACAAATAACGCCGCATATATTTCTGGTAACAAAAAGTTAAGCCTATTGCACACAGTGTGTACCTTATCGAAATATGTGCGAAGTGTCGTTGCACCAAAAATTCTGGATTATCAGAAGTCACGCCAGATCGGAAAACACCGTCGTCGTTTCGGCAAGCGATTAAACGGTTAAAACTGTTTGATGCTTGATAAACTTTATTGCTGCCCGATATCGTGTTGGATTTATCCCTTCAGAGCGTATCATAAAAGATTTTCAACGTTCCTATCGGGGATACGAGCGCGCTCGATTTTATGAAAGCCAAGATTAAAGTAAATTCTTGTCTGAGCTAACACACGAAAAATCTGTTATGAGAAATTTTAGTAAAAAGAATGTAATACATATTTCTTTAAATTTTAATATTTTCAAATACACAATTTTTCAAATTCTTCAAATTTATCGTTATACGGTCATTTATCAAATCATAAAGTCACTTATAATTTGTTGCTTTTCTATAACAAATATTGTTAATTTCAATCGAATCGTACATGTATTAATCCTATTTAAAGTTTACGTAATTTTCCAGATTACGTAGTAATTTTCGATACTCGGAAATTCTAAACTACTTTCTTCAAACGGATATCATCTAAGTATACAATCCCCTTGAAAGAGCGATGGACGTGATGTAGAAACTTCTCAACCAACCACGAAGATTTCATCTCCTTCGAAATCTCATCTTGTAGGAAAAATCGAAGATCACCCTTGCGGCCATAAAAGCCCGAGCTCCTCTCTCTCACCTTCGGCCCCGTTGCCTAAATTTTCTAAGTTCGCTCCTCGCGCCCAGCAGCATCCACCATCGTGATGGGTGTTGAAGGACGAGCGCCGCGAGCCGGCGTACGTGCATGTACGTTCAAGTGTGCGAGGGCAGCGCGCAAATATCAATCAGTGGAGTCAAGAGTGGAATCAGGGTGGCCGAGTGGTTCCACATAATGCTGCAACCAGGAGGTGAGAGAGCGTAGCGCGCAACGTGTATCTCGTATTCGCTGGCCGGTGCAGTTCAGACATACGCGCACACACACACAGACGTGAACCCACCGCATACACGTATCGGAGGCACATACGCATACAGGCGCGAAACCCCATCAGCAACCCCACACGCGGTACCGGAGCAACGACGCCCGGTAGCGTTCGGTAGCGTCGTCGGCCCCACTCCCTTTCACGAAACGACGATCGTCCACGTGTTGGTTTATGCGTGCACCACCACGTACACCCGGGAACAAGCCGGTGTGTGTGTGGGTGGAGTGGAACTGAGAAGGCGTGCCCGGGAGGCGGGACCCGGGACCAAAATCTTGGTGTGCATCGGACTTCTATGTGGGTGTTCTCCCTCTCCGTACAAGCGCCGACGGTGTGTGCGTCGTTCGTGTGATTCTCTCGGTCTCGCTCCTTCGCTCACGTCCGTCGCTCTCGCGGCCGTCATCGCATGGGAGTCTCTCCACTATCAGACCCGTTAACAGCAGTCGGCGTCGAGGCACCCGCTCTAACAGCTAACGTCTCTCCACATCCCCGGGCTTGAGCCGGTGTTTCGCCGTTTCCGATCCGTGTCCTGTCCGGCCGATGGACCGCACGGAAATCAGTGTCGCTGACAACCGGAAGCCCAGTCTCTTGCGCGACACATATTCATTATCGCAAAACAGGCAGAAGCTGTCCTACGGGGGTCCGTCTACGTGTTGACAAACAGCTTCGAGTGTCTTGACTGTGCCGGCGAAAGAATCCCCAGTGCTTGTGCGCTATCACGAGAGAACGATGTTGACAACTCTCGAAAGGATGAAGTCCGCGAACAGGTAGTCTTGAAAAAGGATTTCATCGAACACCCTTGGGGTTGCGTATCTTGCTGATTATAAGAGATATCTTTTTCTTAATGAGGCATCCAACAAACAGTCTCGATAATTGTTGAAAAATCGTTGTTTCTGAAGACACAAGTCGCCGAAGATTAAAAAAATCCCCCACAGACATCTTTGCCAAAACATCCTTGAAGGGACATTCTGGACATAGTTTCATTGGAAATCAAGTTAGGAAGGACTGTGTATATTTATTTATTGCTGAAGAAACACTTAAAGATTGCAAGCGTGTTGGGAGAGGAGATGCGAATGTCGTGTGTAGTGACGCGAAAGTTGTAAAACGGTGAACGGACTCGAGGTCCAGGATGATGGAAGTGCAGCAGCAACACTCGCCTGTCGGGGTGGGTCCACTAGACTTTTCGAGACGAGGGGTTGCCGAGGCGTCAGCGTTTCGCGTTGTCAAGCCCAAACAACCGGCCTCGTCGCTCGTGCATCAGCAACCGCTGCCGCCGGAAACCAACAACAACGAGAATCTTCAGGAGAACCCGCAGATTCCCATCGACGAAGGTAAGAATTCTTGACTGATCTGTCGAGGTTGAATTGTCACTACAACAGTTAATGACACAGAATATTATTTTCTAGTAATTTTCTGGTAATTTATTAACCCGAATATTCATTTAAACGTATTTTTAAAACAAATTTTGATGATGATATTGTTATAATAAAGAATAAGTTAAACAATACCTCTTCTATTCGCATTAACAACGTATAATATAAAAACAGCAAAATATAAAATATGCGATATTTTTACAATATATAAAAATGATTTGAGATAAAAATATTGTATACAAAGTATTTAATCTTCCCTAATTTTGAGTTATAGATAAAATGTTGAGATTAAAAAAGACCTTTGTAAATATAATATAAATTTATTATTATTTATTACATAATAATTGTTAAAAGTTTTTAATCAGAGAGAAATTGAGTATGTCTATTTAATGTGAATTCTCTCTTCAGGTATATAAAAATATACAATAAACAAATTTACAAATTTCTCAAACTTCAGTATATTAAATATCTATTTTCTGTCAATTGTATTCGCGTATTTATGGACGATATGTACATTATTGCGATTGAAAACTCAATATGCCGTCAATTATTTTGACTGACAATGAGACACCCACGCGAGTCGATCAAACCCTAAATACGCACCGACGATACACTCTCCGCGGAGGAAACCCCCATATTCCAGATAATAAACATATCGCGTCCAAGCCTTTGACATTTCCAACCGTATGCCGTTCGCTGACGTAGCGGCCCCCGACACTCTCACCCCGTGTCCATCTCTCGCCTGTCATCATCCTGTCTATATTACCTGCCTATTACCTCTGCAACGTGACATTTACGCGGGTAGCTCTTGCAGCTCGCGTCAACACCTGAGCTTGTTCTCACCCACACGCGCGAGGATCGCGGGTGGTCCCGAAGCACAAGCGGGACACGGAATGCTCATGCACGAATACGCACACGCGCGTGCAGGTGCGTAGGGGGTTGTGCCGTCATCGTGCACAACACAGTCTGTTCAACAGGTGAGAGGGGATGGTTGGCATTAGACGGCTGCCTATATACTAATACCCCGCTACTAATCGCGGTAACAGGCTAAACGCAATAATATCGAGCTACAGGCGTTGAGCTAAGCGGTTTAAGCGATAATTGCCAGGTGATGGGCAGCTCATCGAGGGGGTTGACTCGGCTGTTCTTCGGCTGCTTGTACCCCGCCGAGATACTCAGAAGCCTTTGTTTGACAAGAGACTTAAAAGCACGCGGACACGTCTACTTGTTACGGAATTGCCGACAGTCCGATCCTTGTTGATCGAAAGGAAAAGAAATATATTTGTATCTCTTGCAACATTTAAGTACTTCTTTTTCTAACAGTAAGCTTAGAAAAATGCGAAAACTTAATTATTCAAAGGGAATTCAATCTGAATCTAATGAATGTAAACGTGTTTGGACTTCTTCTCGTTTAAGTATCTCGATCTCTCGTTCTCTTGCATACTGATTTTTTTTAGAATTCAATTGTGCAACGTATATTTTTATCTAATGTATACGATATTGTATCTATCTCTTTTCTCCCCTCGTTTGGAAAAATCTTGCGATCCAACGCCTTTAGTGCGAGACAATTTTCTTAGTCCTAAACAGACCAATATCTCTTCTCTGAATTCTTTGAATTCTCCGGATCTGCCGATCGGCCGCGGTTGTTTTTGTCGGTGATTTCCACGGCAAATCACGTTGGCCTTACCGTTTTATAGATTTATGACGGACCGATAGCGCGAAACGTACGCGCGGGACTACGCCAGGATAAGACTCTTGCGCGAGCAAACGGCCCGATATCGCCGCGATTCTCCGCTAGCTAACAAACACGCGTTACCTGCATTGTGTGTACACACGTATCGATGTGTTACGCCAGACCGCCTTATCTCAAGCGCGCGGTACGTCCGCTATATAGGAAAATATGATTTATTTCTGATAATCCTGGCGAGAATGAGACAGCCTTTGCGGCGCGGAGTGTCTAATCTCTTCGTGCTATCTCCAGGTTATCCCAGTCGGTCCTCTATATTGCCCGGATTACAGATTTCTCTCGCTTTTTTTTGTCGATTCTCGGTATAGCCGATGTCCCGTTATCGATCGATTAATCTTTATAGCGATTACCGAAAGTTACAGAAATGATGCATCATATATCGGATATAATAATAAATTTATTTTTCTGCGAATAATTACTGTAACTAAGAATACAGAAATAATGTATTGCCAAATTTTTATTATTAACATTTCTTTCCATCTCTTGAATTATTAATTCCAATTATTATTTACTGAAGAACATGTTATTAATTATTTATATATTTCATTTCTAACATAGTTTTTCTTAATATCACATTAAATTTAATATAATCGCAATTTAAACACATTTAGTCTTAATTTATTTAATAAAATATATGTACATTTTTTATAGATGCAGTTAAAATTTTATAAAGTATTTATTATTCTACCTCGAAATAGAAAGTTCTGGCAGATGTTATATTTTATGTTAATAATCTTATATACTTATTACTGTTAATACAATTTTATTCTGATTCATTCCTGATTAGATGTTTGTAGATTTTTGCTTTTATTCAACAATAAAATCAAGAGATGACGCGTACCGAATGACGCGTATATGATATCGACGTAGACAAAGCTAGATCTGATTTAGCTTGATCGAATTGAACGATTAGATAGGTTCTGGATTACGCTCGTCATCGTAAAACTCGGATTTGATATTTTTATCATACCTGTGTAAGAATAAGAAAACTAACATGGATTTATAACACGATCGTTTGTCGGTCGAACTGCAGCTTGGTAATCGCGATTAATTTCCCATTGCCGCATGGTTGCGGACTTCTTTGTTTCTACGTTGCTGCGATATCGGAAATTGTTAATCTTTAGATTATTGTGCAATGAAATAAATACTTTTGTTTTTATCTATATTTACAACTGAAGGCTTCATGACGTCATACGGATTTTATAAAATGTGTGATACACATTAAATTATATCAATGTTATCAATTATAATTGTTTTATATTCAATTTGTTACTTGTTAATGATCTGTGAAAAGATTGTTAAACAAGTTGTCATCTTTTTATAAATTCATTAATTATAGGCATTGTAATCGTGCCAATATTAATTCGATATACCGTAATTCGGTATAACTTTTGGCATTCCATGCACTGCACTGAGCGAAAGACAAGACTTTCACTTATTTGATTAATCATCGGGATGGCAAATTGGCGTGAAGTTTTCGAACTTTGATCCTCCACCGGAACGATCAAAAGAAACCAACCAGGATGGATGGCGGATGTTCGGGGATAGGAATGCAGGTTTCAGGGAGAAAGAGAGCGAGTAATGGCCGAGGCAAGGTTGATAAATAGAGGAGGGTTTCTCCTCCTTTCTAATAAAGACGCTCTTGTCGAGGGGTTGATCTTTCCTACGAACTAGGAATACTAAATTTGTCAGGACTTGAGATGTCATTGCAGCGCTGGTGGCTGGCGGGGTAACGATGTATAAACGATCGAGAAGAATGCCCGATCGTTTCGCCGTTTGCATCACTATCTTTTTATATCGGATTTCGTGTACACTGTCTTTCAACAATCGGTCAATCGTAATAGATCTAAATGGCGAATATATTTGTTTGATATATATATAATGATCGTATAATTTTTAATATTTTTTATGTACTTTAACACAAAATAAAATGAGACTATCAATTTTTTTAAAATATATCTAAAAATCTTTGTTATTATAAATCAGTAAGAATTAATGTTTTATATAACATATTACTTCTATAATTCTTTGAGATTCGGTCAATTATTTCCCGAAAATTTGAGAAAATTAGAAAAACCGGTTTCCAGAAAATCGGTAACGAAAAACTATACACATCATGGCACTTCCCGGAAAATTCTACCCCTGTTTCATATACTTTTGGTAAAAATTCGGTCCACTAACGAATGAGTATGTTCACGGACAGACGGACGGACAGCAAACAGTCGGGTTTTATATAATAGTATGATATACCTAATTAAATTTTTAATATAATAAGTATAATATATTATTAACGTTTATTTAACGATTTTAACGTAATAATATTATTTTTTTAAGGAGGATGCAATGTTCGTTTAATGTTCCCGAGACTGTGGGCACCTTTCGGGAATGCCACGGAAGTTACGAGCCTGCCACCTTTACCAAAAAGTCACTCAGGTACGTGAATAAAGAGCCAGTAATCCGTTTTGTCGATAAGTTCGTATATTCAACCGAATTATATCACAATACAGTGAAAGAATCTCTCAATGTCGAACTTAGGTGCATCCTTGACTTTCTGCATTTGACATATCGGAGAGAGAAAAAAGTAATTCTGATATTTCGCTATCATATATTTCATATCACTTTCACATCTCGTCTAAAACTAAAAACTAATATAGAAATAAAAGTGTAGAAGTAATTTTGATTTTATTTTAATAATACTGCTTTTTATCGAGAAAGAAATATTTTATCAAAATTGAAAATTTCACTGTTATGGTGTGTCAGATTAAAACGTATCGAGTATTAAATCGTATATATTATTTTGCGCATGTTTACTCGTTACTGATTATTATTGTTTGCTACCTCACACTGTTTGCTAGAGATTTGTTACGTATATACTATGTATATTTTAAATATCATTTATTTCTACTTACATTAAATATTCGAAGAAACTGCGTTTGTGGCGCTTCAGACACACAATCGTCGCTGCACATACTTCCATTCGTCGTTCGTCGTTGCTTCTTACTTCTCTTCGAAAGGTGTAGACGGACGGGTGTAGCGCCGACCTTTCGCCTCGGTTGTGATGATGGCTTCCTCCTCGGCCCGGATGACGGCAGGTTTTTATTTGCCGATCATTAAGAACGAGACCGGTCGTCGTCGACGATTGGGATAAATGGTAGCACGCGTCATACCACGCACGGACATGGGCCTTTCTAGCTCCTGCCGGCCCAATTGGAGCGGATTAGAGGCGCTGGCACAGGGATTCGGTCCGTCGGCTCCTTTGTGCTTGTACCTACCCTGAATTAGTAACATCTTGTCATGTTAAACGCCCATGCATATTCTTCCTACTTCTCCCGCGCGCGCGCGGACGCGGGCGCGGGCGTGCACGTGGCCATTCATCTGCCCCGTTCATTCTCAGACATGATAAGATCAACCGCGTTACTTTTATCGTCGCGTTTACGTCGCCGCCGCCGCTCTGCCAAGATTTGCGTCGCGCAAACATGGCGCTGGTTGAGCAGTATCATATTATTATTTATATAGACTATCACTGCTATCTTTATTGTAGAAGATGCTGATTCATAGAAGCTATTTCGAGACGAGAAAGCGGAAATGTTTTGTGATTTGTCATTATTAGAATATTGTGTTGATGGAGTAAAAATCTATTCAACGATCTCGACAATCTGTCTCGACAGTAAACAAGTATTTCAATATTTATGTGATAAACGTCAATATTATCATCGATTTATTTAGGATTTTTAAATGAGTGATTTGAGAATACAAATATTATATATATATCAATAATGAAGATAAGTTTACAATTTTTAAATAGTGTGACATTTGAATGTTAAGAAAACAATCTTGGAATTGAATTTATATAATACTTCACTTCCGAGTATACACAGGAAGCAAAATTTTGATTATTGATTTACATCTTTGATTGATATGCGATATATCTTTAATGAGTAAACTCGATCGGCGATTTCGGTGTATCCAAACGTTTCTTGCTGCGAATCGATAAAAGGACTCGTGACAAGGGGATGACGATACTGAAAATGGTTGTGGACGTGGATTAATAAAGGAAGGCCAAGCCGGGGGGAACAATTAGATCGAGTTAACGGCCAACTTTAATCTTCTGTCGTCCGTCAGTCGTTTACTGCGTAGCGATCTGCCGCTATATAGAACCGTTATACACTTCAAACCCCTTCCGTGATGTCGGTTCATGGAAAGGAATACGCGTGACCTTTGCCGCGCAGTCGGCGTCAATAGAGCCGAGTGACAGGACGATGTGGGTTTTCAAAAACGGATTTTTCATCCGGCCGTCAGTGGCTATTTAAAGTTAATCCCTCAATAATTACGAGAAATGATATCAGGGTGTACTCACGGAAAAAAATCGGAATTTAGAAGAAAGGATTTGAATTTGAATTGATTTAGATTGAAGATGATAGATTATGATTTATTTTACTGGTAAATGTATGTGAATTAAAAATATTTTTAATATAATATACTTTTCCTTTATTTATTTAAGATTTATTTTTTATTTGGAAATATATTTAGAGATATCTGCAATTGAATTTTAATTTCTCGCTTCGTAACGATAATATAAGCAGAATTATTTTATTTTCGGTACGATAACTTGAGTAACGTAATATTTAATGAACAAGTTGACATGTTCTTACTTTGGCTCGTTTCGCTACCGGGTTTGCACGGCATTCAGCTACACTCTGGAAACTTTGTCGTTGCTCGTCCCGATAAGCAACTCCGAGCACTTTACGCGAACATGGCGGATGCGCATCAGTGGCGGAACCGTCGTAACAAAAACGATCGCGTAGTCGATTCAAGAAGTTTCATTCACCGTATCGGGGGACTGAAAACTACGCTTACAGGGCCACGTGACACGCATCTCGATGCAGTGTCAGAAATGCACGTGTGCGTAAACTGCAACGTCTAGGCATGCGGAGATCCCGTCGAACCCGGACCAAAGTTTAAACCCATCTGCCGGACGGTCGCCGACCGTTTTTCTCTCGTTGTGGTTGCACCGTCGTCAGTTTTTAGCGCATTCCAGTCGACCCAGACGCAGCATTTGCGTAAGCAGTTCTTCCTATCGTGCCGCGGGACACATCTGCCCGAACTTCCTCCTTCTTTTGCTCATTCTCGTCGCGCTTTTCTGCTATACCTTCTTGACAATGAAGCGCGAGCGACGAAATAGAATTGTTTTCGTTCAATTGTCACAAAATTCAAGTTCCGTTGACTTTATTTTTCTTTAAAGTATCTATATTTAGCGTCCACAATATTAAATTATCTACTTAAGATTAAATTCACGCAGCGTATCTCTCTGAACGTTTTAATTAGGAATTAACAAAAATATTTGTTATTAACATGTGTTTGAAATTTATCAGTCCACGATTTGTTAAATTTATTTCCAAAATTGAGAAGCTTTTAATTTGATCAGTTCAGTCATGTTAATCAAATAATACACAAGTAATCATGCAAATGTATAATTTCTAAATTTAGGATAACGTACGTGTTGCTTCGAATATATGTCGTCGTGGTCGTCGTAGAAGCAGGAAAAAAAATTTGGATGTAATATTAGCAATTTCATTAGCTCCTTTTTGCGTTTTTCCTTTGTGCCTTTTGACCGGTGTGCAATAAAGTACCTATCTGTCTCCTCGGACAGATCCCCGCAGGCGCGCGCGAGGCGCGTTTCTCATTACATTAGGCCACTCTGACTCGAGTCGTATTTTGATTCGATTGCAAAGCCACCAGGAGACATGATAATAATCGACCCCAACGACGGGGCTCGCGGAGAGCTTTAAATGCGATTAGCCGACACCGCGGTGCATCATACAGGCCCGGCACGTGACCGCGTGTCGCGCGCACGGATTATAAATATAATATACCGGGTGTGTGCGAGAGGCGCAATATGAGTGGTCCGAAATTGCCGGGCGATCAAAAGGGGGGCTGCAAGATAGATTCGAGGTCCGCCCTTCTTTCTCGCGTGGCGAGACGCGATGCACACGTATACGCGTGCCCGATTTCCGATTCATCCGATGCCGTAAATCACGACGGTCGAAGCGAACTCTGATTATTAGACAAGCCGCGCATAGTTTCTGGACATAATTAAACCTCAAATTGTAACGGTTTTGACGTTAGAATCTCTCCGCATTGTCTTTTTCTATTTGAAGCAAGGATTTTGCAAGCAAATCCATTTCTTCTTTATTAGTTTTAGAAAACATATTTGAAATTATTTATATGATTTTGTTACGGCAATCTATTTTTAATCGTTAGAAATTTATCAACATTGATTGTATTCAATTTACAGTACAACGATGATATTTTTCGAGGATATTTGAAATATATAAATGATTACCCAAAACAATGCAATAAATGAATTTGCCCATCTCCGCGTTAATCATATCTTGAAATCAAATCTAGATTTCTCCGAAAATACTCGTTAAATGATAATAACAAAATAAATACATGCTGCACGTTTAATCGAACAAATACATCAAAATTCACGATTGAATCATATTTCGTTTGAGGCAGTCAACAGATAAAATGACGCGACGTACAAATCAAAGCTGCGTCGGAAATCATCGATTTGATAATCAGAGAATACAGTAAATTCCGATTGACAAGCGATACCGAAATTGCGATCCGATATGTAATTTGCAACTGTCATCGTGAAAATATTAATTTAATATTTCAATAATGATAAAAGTTTAATCTCCTCGTTGTATATTAACCAGCCATGGGATATTAGAGCCGTAATTACGTGACATATTATCTAATAGAAATAAATATAGATAATCACATTAATCATTAACAAAAGGACATTAACGCATAATAGATTTTTGTACTATTTCACAACTATAATATATTACACAAAAGTGCAGTTAGAATATTGAAATTTCTATTAGCCATAAAATATTTTCTTATCACACACAAGGATGATTCCTTTTCACGCCGTCACACGAGAGTTAATCACGACTTATGGCACTGCGTCGGATGAAATATTCCGATGAAAGGGTGGCGCGAGGGATTTCATTAAGGACACTGCTTCACACGAAAACGTCGCGGAAATACATTTTGCTCTTGGCACCTCACTATTCGGCTCTCTCCTCGCGATACCTCGTTAGCGCAACATGAGACCCTGTCACGACCTCTCGTGCCCTGTCCGTCCCTTAAACACCCTCGCGCCAGCGCTAGGAAAAAAAGGCCCAGTACGTGACTCAAATCTTACTCCGGCCGGGTCCTCTTGCCAGAAGAAACTGTATTTATCCGTGGCCTTCCTTTTTCGGATTCCTCAGCACCTAGCGTACTCTCATACGTGACGTAGCTGCTGTTCCAGCCAATCATTGGCCATCATGCTCTTGTGACTGGTGTATATAAACTCTGGTTTATCGATTACGAAATGTCTATCTGCTTGGTGGTGCAAAATCTATGCAAGATGATCACCGCGATTTCTTTTTGCACAGTCAACGGTTGAACTTGAATTTTTTGACTTGTGATAAAAATCTGCTTAATAAAAATCGATCATCTACCCAATTAGGAATAATCAAATGCGATATGAAATTTAATTATCATATTGAACGATATATTGCAGAACGGCTATCTTTCGGAGTCGGTCGTCTGGTGGGTTCGCCGGCGACGAGGAGTCCCTCGCCGTCCCAGTCTCCTTGCCCGGACTCCCCTCCGCCCGAGCGCCGGGATGCCGAAGTGGACGTCGACGTCGGTGAGGAGGAGGTCGACGTGGACGTCGAGGAGGTCGGCGACGAGGACGATCACGAAGGCACCTCGAGCCCGCCGCGATCGTCGTCAACGCCGTCGCCGTCGCCAGTCAGCGTCGCGACGTCGCCCGTATCGCATCCGCCGAAGAAATCCGGCGACAGTTTCAGCGTGTCGGCGCTCCTCAGGCCGGACCCACCGTCCGCACACCTGCAGAACGCGTCGCCGCATCGAGAATCCGCCTCCATGGGCGCCCATCCGCCGCCGCCCGGCTCGTCGATCCTGTACCCGCCGTTGCACCTTCAGGGCGGCCTCCTGCCGCCCCATCCGCATCACCCTCTCTCGTACCTGCACCCCCAGCTGCTGCCGCATCATCTTCTGCCGCCGCACTTGCACCCGTTGTTGCGCGGCGTTCATCCGGCTCACCCGGGGCTACACTCGACCCACACGGCGCACGGGTTACACCATCCTCATCCGCTCGGCGACGTCTACAGCTGCGTCAAGTGCGACAAGATGTTCAGCACGCCGCATGGGCTGGAGGTACATATGCACGGTTGACGCGTATACTTTTTTCCAGACTTAGTTGTTTTGATTCATTTCTGATTTGCTGCTGGCGCTGACGTTCTCATCCGTGTTCGTTCTAACAACTTGATCGTCACAATAATTAATTTTTATGATGTAATAATTTTAATCAAAATAACGTCTCTTTATTGTTACATCCGCGCGTTAGAATCGTAAAATAATTCTTTGTATTATTTTAAATACGTGCATATTATACTTAGAAAAGTTATCTCGCACGTACTCATGAAAAAATAATTTTAAGTTTGACGCATATAATTTTTTTTATCAATGAGACACTTATCTGTCGTGCCGCAGATTGTTTTGAATTTCGTACATCGGATTATCTTGAAATAGCAAGATATTGATTTGCGCAGGTTCACGCGAGGCGGTCACACAACGGTAAACGGCCATTCGCCTGCGAGTTGTGCAACAAAACCTTCGGCCACGAAATCAGTCTCACGCAGCACAGGGCTGTGCATTCCGCGGAGAAAGTGTTCGAGTGCAAGCAATGCGGTAAAGCCTTCAAGAGATCCAGCACACTCAGCACTCACCTTCTAATACACTCGGACACGAGACCGTATCCTTGCCAATTCTGCGGCAAGCGATTCCACCAAAAGAGCGACATGAAGAAGCACACTTATATACACACCGGTAAGTAATCTACAAATAATCGATTTCTCATTTAACGATTTCTTCCGATAACAAACCACATCTGTCTCATGTAGCTGTAGAAAATATTTAAACTGAAAATTAGTGCATTAATATCTATTATATAAATCATTAGCTATTATACTGGTAAAATATATTTTATGGAAGTATTGCGTTACTGTCGACTTTGATTTTATAAACGATTTTAACGTACCTAAATTTATGAATTTCTATTAAAACTAATAATTTCATTTACTAGAGTTCCGCATACACAAATATGATCATAAATTATATTTCTAATCTGGTATTCTTACATCGCTTTGTCCAATCGGACGAAAATGCTAAAATTACTCTCGAATTGAATTCACTTGGAACGCAATTATCCCATCTTTGGACAGCTCGCTAACTTTCACGTATGTTATACGAAAATCGCGCTCGTGATTCCGATGGGTATCGTTATCGAGGGGGACGTAAGGGATCAATTAGTCCGGCAAGTTCGTGCGATAAATAATGCAGCAAACCGTCTGGACCGAGTCCTTGTGAGAGGATCCAGTTGAATATAGCACATGTGGCCAATGCATTTCAGGGATGCCGAGTCCCACATTGCGAGTTTCGCTCGGTAATAATCGTAATGTCTCTTTCGGGGGTCACCCCCCGTCTCTTCTGTATTTAACGTTCACGTTCCTTGCTCCCACGATTTCGGGGTGGTATCATGGCCTCCCTAATCTTGGAATGGAACTTTGTCGTGACGTAACGTGGAGTCTGTGCAAGACACACAAGCGGGTAATCTTATTTTACGAAGTGGATATTTCTACTGCTGATTGTATCTAGAATGACAAAAGTATTCGTTCGATTTAAATTAAAGCAGCAAAAATCATGCTACTAATTATATTTTTTTGGGGCATTTATAATAATTTCTACATTTGAGAGAACTACTATTTGAGAATTAGATTATCTATATTTAGAGTCGCATTGAGGGAAGGAAGAGAGTGATCTTGTTAAAATGTCGTTTGCATCCAAAGAGCATCAATGATATAGACGCAATCCTCGTAGCAGCCTTCGTCTTTTTTTTCGTATCTTTGTATGCGTGTTTATCTTCGACATACGCATCAATGTCGGACGCGTCGAAGTCCTACGTGCGACTGGGGAGGCCGGAGCAAAAAAGTTGAGGGAGTCGCAAAGCGGTGGTGGCGGCAGGACACTTGACACTTCGGTGTCTCCCGGTTGATGGAACGGAGTCTTGAAGGAGTAGGTTTCTCGGGGATGGAAAGAGAGAGAGAGAGAGAAACAGAGAGCGAACGAAGGAGAGAAGGCCGCCTGCTGGAGGGCTCCTGCCTCAGTCGAGGCTCTGGGTTTTGTATCGTCTCCATAGCAACCCCTCCCGATGTCTTATCAAATTATCACCTTGTCCTCCCCCACGCCACTCCATCCTGCCGTCATTCCAATGCCCTCCGCCCCTCATTCTACGGCCCCCCGAAACCCGGCCGAAGGACTCAACGTAGCGGGATACAAAGCGATGGTCACTTCCGGAGGACTTTTCTCAACAACCTGCGGGATCATCCACGGATCCTCGTGTTGCTGCGCGGTTGTGTCCACCTATACGCACCGCTGCGTCCCGTGCGGAGGGTCGCCATGAAACATTTAATTCATCATTTAGGAGAAATGAAAAATTCAGAGGCGCCGTGAGAGCGCCGACCAATGACGTTCACGGTCGCGGCAATTGCGTCGTGAAACGGAGGATAAGTCCGAGTCCTTTTTCCGTAGGAATCTTTCGCTCTCGGGGGACAGCTCTTTCTTCGACGGTAAAAGGGGACCTGCTTCACGTTCTTCTTTTTTAACCTTCTTTACTCAATAAAGATACTTTCGATACGCTCTACGTGATTTGAAAGTTTAGAACCAATTTTTTTATCGAATTTTTACGTGACGCATGTGTTACCGAAGGCTAAATTTACTAAATTAGTCTTTATTTTAATATTTGTTTATACTATATTTGAAATATTTAATTTTCCGAAGGGCATTATTTTGTCATAAAATTTATTAGAAAATAAAATACAAATCTAGCTCGTTTCTTTCGTTGTTTCTCTGATAAGATACGCGCTTCTAGTAGCTCGTACATACGCTTACTAGATTGATTTGACTGTTTTCGTTTTGATGCGATCTCTCCATCTCCCTCTCTCTTTTTTATCATACGCACGAACAAATCTCGTTGCTCCCACGACCTCGAGCAGCGGCGCGCCGGCTGCGTGCGTACGTGCGTCAGGCAGCAACGAGGGTGTTCTGGGACTCCGCTGCTAATGATAATCAGCCCTCTTTCTCTTTCCAACCTCCCCTTCCCCCCCTTCGGCCGCCTACGTACCCCATGTACCGAGGCACGGGCCATGTGCAATAAGGGTGCGGCACCGTCGGATTCCCCGGGGAACGGCGTGGCGTAACGTAAAATCATTATTAGGTAGGTAGGTAGGTGGTTGCTGGTGCACACGAGGGGTGGAAAGAGAAACGGGTGGTTCGGGCGAACGGGGGTCGAAGCGCCGCCGCTCACGGGGGTTGAGAATAAGAGCTCTGCAAATATTGTTCGTGCGCGAGCCGGCAACTCGGAATAGGCTACGAGGGACCGGAGCGTTACTTCGCGTTACCTTCGCAGTTAGGCGAACGTTTTCGGGGGGAGTAGCGGTGGGACGTGACGGAGGGGGGAGGTGCGACGAGTCAAGTGCACGGTCGTTGCAAGGGGTTGACGAGCGAAGTGACAGACTGGCAAGTGGCCACGAGTCTCTCTTCGATGAGAAAACACTGGCAGAATGTCTTTGGGAAGGGCGGCGAATATTTTCAGGACTGCGCGGGTTGGTTTGGCAGGTCGCGAGTTTTGATAGCATCAGCTGCGTGCGATGTTGTCCGGTCTGATGAGTACAATGACGATTCGTGATAGTTCATGAAACACGTTACGTCAGAATTGATTGCTACTGTTGAATTTCTTAAAAAAAAAAATAATGCATGTCTTTCCGAAATAATTTTAAATACATTAATTTCCAGTACAGACAATAATCATAAAAAATTCAGTGCGTTTGGTATTTAATTAATCGGTTAACCGTGCGTGTTTCTTAAAGCTATGTTATTCTCAGCATTTCAAATGTAAAATTAACGATCCCCGGCGGCTCTCGGCGCCGACGTGTGATTGCAGAAGAACATTATCGAAATCATCGACCCTCTGTCATCAGGATGATCAACTCGCAGTGTGTATCTGGTCTTATCTACACACGCGTGATCGTACCCTGTTTTCACAATAAACACAACCTGTCCGCTGTTGGTATAAAGTAAAGTCGATGGGCCGAGCAGCAAAGGGAAAAAAGGGAAGAATGAGTGCATTCTGTGTACTTTTTTCATCTTTTCATTGAATGTTTTTATTTCGGCCGAATGTTCGGCGACACATTTGAGACGTCTGTCGCGAATGGGCGATTTTTTTCCCGACGATTAATTGTTCTCAATACGATCGCTTGCAATTCGCATTATTCATCTAGAATTTCACGCAACCGATTTATTGTTAGGTAATCCGAAGAAACGCATTTTATTCGGTAATATATGTATGATTTTTTAAAATGAAATTTTCCAATAGATAATGAAGTTCGTTTAGCGTCATACGCCTTCAGAGAAACATACATACGACATCTAATATGCGTCATACACATCAAACAATATCCGTATTCGTTATCCGCGGAGGAAATTAAAGCCTCGTAAAAGACTCCGTAATACGATATCCATTAGAACAGTCGCAATAACTGGGATGATTAATTGAAATCGTCGAGGTCATCCATTACTTTACCATGCCTGGTTACATGTAAACATAGCGTTGAAATCCTGGCTTTTATGCATTATGCATCTACGTACTAATGATTGCAATCTTTGGCTAATGACCGAACTCGGAAAAGTTAAATCTACATGTGACTCCGAAGAGCGCATTACTTCTCTAATATTCTATTATCATTGCAAACTCCATGATTTCATCACATCTGTCTTCTGTGATATACTAATTTTGCTTGGCTTCGCTCGCGAAAGCTTTCAAATTAACTGTCTCAATACTTGGTTTTACACGTTTATTATTATCCTTCCCGGAAACGTCGTCGCGCGTGATTATTTGTGCAGAATTGTTCCGTGGAAGAGAAACACTCGGGAAATATTGCTGGATTAAAATAGCCACGTATTTTTAAACAAACACACATGCGCACACCGGCACACCGTGTGTTCGCAACGCGATTAATAATTACCCCAGACTCAGGCACGAGCGCGCCCTGTCCTCGCCCCCCTCTCGAATTATGAATTCAGTTGCGGCTGTATGCGGATACCTGGTCGAACGGCGTTTCCCTCGGGCTCGCCTCGAGGGTGCGGTTATCGTATACTCGCGGAGATACAACCTGTACGAGCACCTTTGCGGCCGCGTATACGGCGTATGCCTGCGGACTCCATCCCCCCGACTACGACACGTTCCCCCTTCCCTCTCTTTCTCGTTCTCCTTTCTCCTTTCCGCGCAGACAGACGGGGGCTATTAGAGGTTTCCGGCTGACTTGGCGCCCTAAGCATCGGGGCGCCGCAACATCCCTCTAAGCTGTTTAAACTTTGCGACATGGTCGGAGGACCGTTTGCCCCTCTCCTCTCAGCGCCCCGTTGCGCGAGGGGCCTCGGCCCGGCCCCTGCTCGTCCCTCTTCCGTCTTTACGGCTCGTTAGCGACGACGACGTACCGCCCTGTCCCAGAATATTCGGACCACACGCGGTAAAAAGCGTGTTTACACGGCACGTAGGAGCCGACACGTAAAAGCGGCTGTGTAGTCAGTGTAGTTGTGTTAATCGCGCGATTGTATCGTTGTTTGCGATTCTTAAAGAATGTCTTCCGGATTGGGGTGCGGGTTAATTGGATACTATTACGTAGGACAATGTTCGGGCCTCTTATCGCTGGGTGTGGTCGCCTTTTTTGATTTGGAGGAACAGGGCACGTTTGAAATAAAAATTACCGAGT